AATGAATCAGTTTCGAGTTTGAATAAACCCTGGCATAATCTCCTTGCTAGTATCATCAATTCGGCGCTTCCGCTACGGGAGCTGTTAAAGCTCCTCGTGCGATATTTATCTGTTCGTCGTGAGTAATGGTGTTTTTGAAGAAAAATATAATTTAATGAAAGCGCTATCTTTTTCCATGTTACATCAATTCGCATGAAAGCATTATAGAGTATACAGCGAAGAACTAAAACGCTTTTTATGTCGGGAATGTGTAATTTTTTATCGGCCCGTTTCTACATCATAAATCGCGCGCTCACGCGTATTTCATCCTTAATTGATTTAAAAATTACCCTTGTCGAACTTTTCGTCCTAGTAAGGACACGGTTGTGCCGTCGTCCTAGCAACAGGATTTGCCTAGCTGAAGGCTTATTAAGGCGGCTGCGAACTAAAAGACAATCCAATTAATTCCGCCCGTTTTAATTACCGTTATTTGACTGTAGCGAAGCCTTGGCAAAAATGTGCGATCTTCGGAACATCGATCTGTCACAGTGCGAAGCCCGGCTTTTGGACAAAGAGACCAACACCGAATCGTTTGTCTCTTTCACCCTAGACACGGGACACCTCGTCGGGAGACACATCCGAATCATAGGTAAATAATTGAATTTTGGTGGAGGCGCCGTTCTAATCTTGTTTGCAGCCAAAGAAACCAGCAATAAAAAGGTCGCGGGACCTTTCTACGGGAATCATTCGCGAAAACAATCGGGGGTAAGTTGCAACAGTTGGAAAATAAATTTTTCTTAATAAAAACAAACAGAGTTATCGCCCTCGGACCAACACTTTCTTCAGTTCAAGTACAGAAGAGCCGAATGCTGTGGCCAGTTCGACCTTATCTCTACATGACGGTGATCAAAGTAAGAAACAGATCAAACAACGGCTTCATGCCTTCTTTGGGAATACTAAAGTAAGTCTCCCAGGGGTTTTAAAGAATTGAGATGGGAATAGTCATTTCAGGATAATAAATATGAGGCTTTGATTGAACAATTAGATAAATATTCGAAGCAAGGGATTCCGAATAATGTAAGCTATCCGACGGGGCAGTGTCCTTCGCTGGATGCCTTGCACAATTTGGAGGACGATTGGAGAGATATCGTTGACAGTAGTGGTAAGTAAAAAAAGGATAGCTTTACAACAAGCTTTAGCTCCTCATTAAAAAACGCAAATATCATTGTAATAATTTTTTTATTTAAAAAATTGCTCAATATTTTATCAACGCTCAGGAAATTCGTCAATTTTTTGCTACTTTAGCCATTACTCGCCGATTAAGTGTACAATTTATATAAAAAAAATAATTAATTAAAATTAAGTTTCGATTTTAGAGAATTTGTAGTAGTAGTGACAATCCGGGTAACTATAGCTCAAAGTCGACCATATTTCTTATAAAATTATCCGAGGAATTAGAAGATTCGCAATTGAGCCAAAATATCGATTTTTTAGATTTGAAGAATAATTTTCGTTTAAATTCTTCATTCCAGAGCTTAACGACAAACAGCAGCAACAACAGACGGCCTTATGGGAACTAATAACCAGCGAAGTCTCCTACATCCGCACTTTAAAGGTCGTAACGGACGTAAGTCATCCGTCTCATGTCGGCCTCAATTTAACTCCCGCTCATTCCAGTTATTTCTTGCATGTTTGCGAGACTTGCAATCGCACAAACTCCTCATCGAAATAGACAGGGAGAAACTTTTCTCCAACATAACGGAAATTTTAGACGCGAACGTGATGTTCTGGCGGAACACGCTGTTCCCCTTGATAAGGGACATGCGACAACATAAACGAACCACTTGTATCGAAAATATGGCTGAAGGTTTCTCGAAAATACACGAAACTTTCCAACCGTATTACAAGTATTGTGCGGAACAATCGCGGTGTCAACATTATTGTCGCGAAAACATGGACAGCGAGGTGTTCACAGCGTATCTTACGTGGTGCGAAAGCCAGAAAGAGTGCAATAGGTTGAGGTTGATGGACATTTTAGTGCAACCGATGCAAAGACTGACGAAATACGGGCTTTTGCTGAAAGCCATTCTGAAAAATACGGACGAGGACGTCGAAAGGGAAAGTCTACAAACGATGGTTGGTAAGGAATTTGGCAAAAGGGTGCGATAAAGTGAGTTCAATTTCAGATTAAGATTGTCGATGATTTTGTTATCAACGTTAATGCGAGTTTGAAACACAAACAGGACAAAGAAAGACTCAAGGGGATAATAGCGAGGATAGAAAGTTATGATATAGTGGTAAGAGTGATGATTTATTACAGATTGAAACAAAGTTTAACGCTTACCTGGATTACCGGTCTCGGTAAGCCTAACCGCCGTTTCATTTTTCTCTTCCAGGATACAAAAGACGACGACATTGACAAAATCCTAAAGAAAGAAAAAATTTACTCCCATCTAGATTTAACAAGACCTATGCTGAACTGTCACCCAGAACGTAAAAGGCATCTCTTACTTGAAGGTGACTTAAAATTAAAAGACACTGGGGCCTCCAAGGTTTGTTTTGTTGCAAATATATATTTGAAATAAAATAGTTTTTTCCTAGTTGGAAGTTCATTGTTTTCTTCTCACCGACATGCTTCTGATTTGTAAGCCTTCGACGAAAAAAGGGGGCGCAACTATGCGAGTCGTGCGTCAACCGTATCTAGTTGATAGATTAGTCGTTTCAGAATTACAAAGAGAAACCCCAAGCTTGGCAATAATTTATAAAAACGAATTTGACATGGCTGTGGCTGCTTTCATTCTTCAAAACAACGATGCGAAAAAAATCAAAGTACGATTCATGAGAAAAAACAACAGGATTTAATTATACTGATTTCAGGGTTGGAAAGACGGAATCGCTAAAGCTCAAGCCTTGTACGCTCAAGCCAAGCAGATGACGTTTATTCCGGACGAACAAAGTCTAGATGTCGACTACGGATTAGACTGTAACTTAGAAAGTGACTATCACAGTCTCCAGTTAGCCCCCAGGTCGCCCCTCGCCACGTCTTCCCGTGCCAGTAGAGTCTCTAGTCTTGCCCACAGTCACAGGTACAACTTTTCCACTGTTACCGAATTTTTTCAAGTCATTTTTGTAGCGGTTCTGTCGAAATGAACGACCAATCGTCTGTCGGCTCAGCGAAAGAAGCCTCCCGCGGAGTCTCCATCGAGACCGAGAACCGCACCGGATCGATTTCCAGCGACGAAGGAGTGCAACCACTTCCTCCGGACAAGAGTCCCGTCTCCCAGAAGAACTCCTTCAAGCGCAACCTCTTCAGCAAGACTCCCAACACACTCTCCGTTCAACCCTTCGGCAGCCTGGGCCAAAGTTTGCCCAACTTGACCCTCGGCTCGCCCAATGTCGGCAGTATGAGTCTCAGTCTCAACCAAAACACCCTCTCGGTGCCCAACAACAAGAACGGGGGGCATTTACTCAGCCCCACACATCGGGGGATTTCCTACCCGCCGCCGTCCCCGACCCGAGGCAACCTCAGACGGGGGCTGGCCATCTCGCAAAGCAAAAACCCGCCGTTAATTAAGACGAGACATGTGAACTCAACAGCGAGCACCAGTCAGATACCGGCTAGTTTTGATTTTGACGTGCCGGTGATTGCAGGTTAGTGTGGCAGTGATTTTGACTCGTTCTGTACAAAATGTAACATTTTTTTCGTTTTTTGTTTCGTTCACTCTAGAAGAAGAACACTGTGAGCCTACGTAATTTCATTTATTGTGAGTCTTTTGAATGTGAACAATTAGTTTTAGAAGTTTTGTATGCGGGTCGGGTTTAGTGAATGTAGAGGGTGAACAAAAGTCGGATCAACCTGTATTTGATTTTTATCAATGCGAAAAAGAGTAATGCTTTGACTGATACAAAACTTTCCAAAACTTATCATTAGACCACTTAGGGTAGTTTTCTAGCGCAATAGCACTTGCATAAGCTTCTTCCCTTATATGCAACACGTCGTACTGCAACAAGACAGACATTGGTTGCAGTTTTTTCATCCAGTTTTTATTTGCTTATTTTTTATTTCTCGTGTTTCACGTTTTGTTTTGTTTAGGTGTGTCCCCTTCAGAGGATCAGTGCGAATCTTTTAGCAGAGGACATCATCGCCAAGCCATGAAGCGAATTTATAGAAATGATAAGAGATATCATACTGCGGGTGTTGTGGATGATATAAAGGTGACTAAAGTTTGATTTTGTATGTTTTGTGATTATTTGAATTGTAGAAAAACGGTACGAGAGATGCAAGCATCCACAAACGTTTGTCCTGGAATTGCAGTAGTCAGGAGCAAAGGCCCCCAAACGAGGACCACACCTAGCATACATTTATAAACTCCCTTGTGTCTTGTATAGTGATCTTTTTCTTCTTCAACTTTATAGTCTGTACAGTACTAGATTTACTAAAATGTCTAGTTGATTGAAAGAGAATCGAAAAACTCGGCTTGGGTTTATACGGATTGTACAAAAGCCACTGTGGACCAAAATGAACCCACAATATCACGAAAACAATAAATTTATTAGATGTCAAAAAGGTTTGGCACGTTTACATTCCTATTACATTCCAAGATAAACCTAAGCAATACTGTACCTAATCAAAAGTTCTATCTGGCCTAATATTTAAAGATTTTGATAATACTTTAAGTAGGGATTTAGAAATTTAGACCGCTTTAATTGAAATCGAAGCATCAGGTAGGTTCTCGAAAAACGCCTTTTGGAAATTTTTGTGTTTTTCAAGAAATTACCGATGCTGCGGTTAACGCGTGGACAACCGCTTTATAAAAGGAAAAATCGTTTGTTTTAAACGAAATAGTACAATGAATTTTATATTTTGGTATAAAATTTTATATTTATTTTTTTGCTTAAGAAGTCTATATTTATTTTAGTTACGCTATTAAAGAAATAAGAAGTTAAACGAAATGTATCTTTGTTATATTTATTGAGAACATCTAATAAACAGCATTACTACACATCGGGTTTGAATTTCCCAGTCACGCCAACCAAAAAACTTATATTGTCGAATTTCCCTAAAAAATGTCAATATAACCTCAAATATGGGCTACAAAATTTGGTATTTTTCTTCAATTACAACGCCTTTAGTGGATTATAAAATATGAATTTGTAGCATGGTTTCTGATTTTTTCTTCCCCAACATGGGTGGAGTCGAAGAACACATTTATAACCTCTCCCAGTGTTTACTCCTCGAGGGGCACAAAGTCGTCGTTATGACACACAGTTACGGCGATTGTGTGGGAATTCGGTACAAAACTAACGGTTTGAAAGTCTATTATCTCCCAATTAGGGTGTTTTATAATCAATCGATTTTACCAACAATGATATGCAATGTGCCTCTAATTCGCAATATTTTGATAAGGGAACAAATTGAAATAATTCACGGCCATTCGGCTTTTTCAGCCCTTGCACACGAGGCGTTGGTAATCGGGAATTTAATGGGATTAAAGGTAAATAATCATTCGTGGAAATACGATTCAACATCAATTTATTATTTGTAGACTGTCTTTACAGACCACAGTTTGTTTGGTTTTGCTGACGCCAGTGCAGTTATAACAAACAAATTATTACAAATGTCTTTAACTGATTGTAATCACTGGATTTGCGTTTCACACACAGGGAAAGAAAATACAGTCTTAAGGGCAAAAGTCAGCAGTAAAAGGGTGTCTGTGATACCAAATGCGGTTGATACATGTGCGTTTATGCCAGATCCGAGCCAAAGATCGAGCAAATATAGTAAAAAGTCCGCGTTTCATCAATTTGTTATATTAAATTTTATTTTTTTAGTCACTATAGTGGTCGTTTCAAGACTAGTATATCGTAAAGGTGTGGATTTGACTGCCCAAATTATTGCAGAAATGTGCAATAAATACGAAAGTATTAATTTTCTAATAGCAGGTGACGGACCTAAGCGCGGGTAATAACAAAAAACATATTTTTCGTCTCACATTTAATTTTGTAGATTACTCGAGGAAATTCGAGAAAGACAAGGGTTGCACGATAGGGTCACCCTTTTAGGTAGCTTGGAACATTCTCAAGTTCGCAATGTTCTAATCCAAGGCCATATTTTCCTTAACACTTCCTTGACTGAGGCTTATTGTATGGCTATAGTGGAAGCAGTTTCATGCGGGTTTGATTGGCAAAAATATCTTAAACCTGTCACATAACTACTTTTTATAGACTACAAGTCGTGTCAACGCGAGTTGGGGGAATTCCAGAAGTGTTGCCTGAGGATTTAATTTATTTGACTGAACCTAATGTCCCTTCTCTTATTAAAACTCTTGAAATCGCAATTGATGATTTAAAAAATAACAGAGTTAATTGCCCTTACGAATGTAATTTGAGGATAAAAAATTATTACAATTGGGAGAACGTTTCGAAACGGACAGAAATCGTCTATCACAACGTTATGCAAGAAAGGAGTAAGACGTTACAGGAGCAGTTATGGAGGTGAGATTAATCAGATTGAAACTCGATTTGATTTTTATGTTTTTATTTTAGTTACAAAACAAGTGGTGTTTGGCCATTTTTATTGGCAGTCTCTTTGTGTTATCTCCTGTTGCTGTTTTTGGAATACATATACCCAAGGGAATACATTGACATCGCCAGGGATTACAATTATAAAAAGAAAAGTAAAGAGAACATTTATAAGTCGCGACCTGTAAGTAAAAAGATATATTATAATTTACATGATTGCCTTTTTTAAATTAATTAATAAAAAAACTTTAATCCTCAGAGTCGATTGTCTTCAGTTAATGAATGAAATTATCAGGTGAAGAAATTCTTAACATCATAGTTAATGAATGAAAAAAGAAAAATAATAAACATGCAAACTTACCTAAGAGTTTTAATAATACAACTTGATTTTTCCACATTTTCAATAAACTGAAATAAAAAAGTAAAATAAAATCAGTAACCCAAAAAACAAAGATTTTTGTTGTGAGAACACTTCCCAACGTCAGTCTTACTTTTATGGTGGTAGTAAAAGTTATCTGCACAGTAATTCAGATAGCAAATACTTAATCATCATTTATATCTCAGATTGTAAACAAACAAACTAAATTCATTACCTACCTAGGCTAGTATTCATTTTTTTCCCATGGAGTTCTCTTCGCGAACAATCTAAAAAAAAAATACAAATACATACCTCTGGAAATCTAGGACAAAACAATTGCAACTCACCTAAAAGAATCAAGAAGCCATCTCTTTTTTTAACAGCAAATCTTCAATTTTCACGTAATCTGCAAACAAACAACACAATCAATAAAAATACAATTCATAATTCTTAAAACGCTAAGAATTCATGAAAAAGTCAGTATTAAAAAGCTCGTTTTTTATGTCAACAGAGACTTTCAGGTTAAATGAAAAAAATCATCATAATAATGCGACTTTTGCAAAAATACTTGAATCAACATAGAAACCCTAAAACTTACCTTCATTTTAGAGATGTGGAGTTGTAAAAAATGAAATGATTGTTTTTCTATTGAAAGATTTTCCACGAGGAACATCATCATCACATAACTTCCAACACAGCAAACACCCTTCAAAAAATATCGACGTTGCCAAAATAACGCGACTTATATAACCCTTGCACCAACCTCTCTTTGTCAAATTCCCTATTTTGATGGAAGCCAACCTCGCTTGGTAAAATTCCCTATTTTAATGACATTTAAAAGTGACGTGTTTGACACATGTCAACAAAAAATATGGCAGATGTGTCAAAAGCCCAAAAATTGGCGTCTGCAAGAAAAAAGGTAATTAACAAAAACTTCATTTTTGCTTTTTTAGCTTCTAACACGTCTACGTGATTTTAAAAACGCACGCGCTTTTTTTAAAAGCCTCCTTGTTTAATTAGGCCCCATCATCGTTTTGCTTTTAGTTCAAGGAATTAAAAAAGGAAAAAAAGAAGAACACTCCCCAGAAAGTACCCGAAAGTGTTGAATCACCACCCACAAGTCGGGAACAGACACCTGTGGAAAGTTTTACAAATGCAGTGAATGAACCAACGCAACTTCCAAATTACTTCAGTAATGTAAACTTTAACAACGGTTATCAGCAACCAGCGGCATTTTTTGATAACATTTCACAAAACAATGACCCTTTCGCGAGTATCACGCCCTTAAACAATCTCAATGGACACCAACAGACTGAGCAGACTACTAGTGACCTTAATATGGGGTTTTCAGTACCTGAAGACAATAAAAATGATGAAATTACGAACTTTCAAGCTTTTGACAGCGTCAAATTTGACCAGAATTCTTCCCCAAGTCCCCAGTTGTCAACAGTTGAGAGTCTGCGTCAGTTGCAAGACCAGATGGCTGAATTAATAAGTCCTAGCACTGAAAATGACCCACCTAGGATCGAGTCACAGCTGGAAATCCGGAATCAAGAATTGGCAGAACTGCTTAATCAAGAAAAATTAAAAACAGAAGAATTGAACGCTACTCTAAGGGAATACCAGACAAAACTCAACCAATTAGAAAGGGAACTAAAAGACAAGGAACTTAACACTGATACTATAGTAGAACATGAAGTTAGCACTCTTAGAGAAGAGTTACAATGTCATGTCCAAACTGTAGGAATTCTTGTAGCGGAAAAAACAGAATTAGTTGCAAATCTGAGCCAGTTCCAGTTGTCTGCGAAACAAAAAACAGCCGAATGCGAGGAGTTGCAAGGCCGATTGAAAACCTCTAGGTCACGGGTAGCAGACCTGGAGCGTGAAGTTGCACTCCTTAAAAACGAGAAATCGCAATACGACAATATGGGACGTGAGCAAAACTCCGAGTTGGAAAAGATGAAACAAAATTACCAAACTATGAAAGATGAGAAAGAAGAGTTGCTCCAGGATTTGCTTGAGGCAAGGGAAAAGCTCAAAAGTAGTTCTGAGAATTGTTTGGAATTTCAACAACAGATTAAGGAGTTGTCAAACCAGTTGTCTATGGCCAATATTAAAATCCAGCAACTCACAACTGGTGATCAAGACAGCAGTGAGATCGAAAAACTGACGCAGGAGAAATTCGCTCTTGAGAAACAAGTCGCCGATTTGAGTCACACTGTAAAAACTTTGTCGAAAGAGAGGGAAGAGTCTAGTCTACAGTATCAGCAATATGCACAACAGTTGAATGCACAATTGTCGAGTCTGGCGAATCGATTAGAGACGTTGCAGAAAGAAAACGAATCTCTGGCTATACAAGAACAGAACAGGATAAAACATATTAGCGAATTGGAGAAACAATTGCAAAGTTTGCAGAATGATCAAGTGACCTTTGCCGTTCAGAAACCCACCGGTGAAACAAAAGCCGAACTCGAAGCCGCCTTAGAATTAGTCGAGAAACTCAAAAGTGAAAATGTAGAATTACAAGGTTATAATGTTAAGGTAGCAAACGAAAAGGAGTTGCTTTTGAAGGAGTTGGAAGCAAAAGGGGAGAGTATAAGGGAGTTGGAGCGGATCATAGAAGAGTTGAGGACCAACCAACCCGACAGTGCTAAACTATTAGCCATTATGGAGAGTGATAAAGTCGCAGCGGCTCGAGCAGTTTCGCAAAACACCGAATTGAAGAATCAGATGGATAGTATGCAGGAAGTTTTCATCAAGTTGGTGAGTATCACTGGACTTGAAAAGCTTGTACTGAAGTTTTGTTTCCAGAATAATGATAAAATCGAATTGACCGAAAAATTAACGATTGAACAGCGCAATAATAAGGACTTGTTAGAGAAGTTGCAAAAAACCGAAATCCATCTGCAAACATTGGCCGACGCGATTGAAATCAAAGATAAGGAGTTGTCGCATCTTCGGGAAAGTTCGACCCAACTCGACAAACAATTACTTCAAAGTGAACAGTTAAACGATCGGTTGAGACATTACGAAGCACAAGATCATAGTTCACAAGCGTTGCAAACCGAATTGTTTCAAGCTAATCAAACTATAGAAAAATTGAATAATGAGATAAAACAACTGAAGGAGGGCGTGCAAGTGTCGTGTGATGTCAGTAATGACGTAAAAGAGTTGGAAGAGAAAGTGGAGAGATTAGAAATGAGGAATCGGGAGTTGGAGGGGAATGAAACTAAGGACGCTACTGATAGTAACCATAACGGAATTGTTTTAGATAAAGAGTCGGCCATGAAACATTTGGAAGAAAAATTTTTGCAAACAATGGAAGACATTGCCAATTTAACGGAAGAAAAGCAACGTCTCGAACACCTAGTGTTGCAATTGCAAGGTGAAACCGAGACGATAGGAGAGTATGTGGCTCTCTATCAGCAACAAAGGAGTCTCTTGAAACAAAAGACGATCGAAAAAGACCAGCAATTGTCCCAATTGGCCAATGACCGGGAGTTAATGAAGGCCAAGTTAGACAAATTGAACGAATTGGTGAAAAAGCTTATGCTTGAAAAAGGGACCGTTCCGTCCGAATTGCTGGAACATCACCAAAACAATCATCTCTGCGAAGAACACGCGAAAATCAATAACGAAATAAATAAAATCGCACAGAATACAATTACGGTCGAACCAAGTGATAATCAAAGTACGGAAACTGCCGAAGAGATAATCGCACTCTTGTCGGAGATTAAAACGAGTAATTTGATACAACCAACTGAGAATATACATCATTGTCCATGGTGTTCGGGCCAACTTATTACGGTATAAATGGGATATTGTAATTATATTGTTATTTTAAATAGCTTGATTAAAATTTATTACATAATGGCACCTGATGTGTAAATGAACTCGCCCTTTTTTCGTATCAGAATATATTAAGTTTATTTATAGATTCTTAATAGTAAACACGAACTGACAAATATACATTGATCAGACTATGCAAACCGAATCCATACTGGCAGCTGTGTAGTTCAAAACTACTTTAAAACTGGCACATCAGTCACACGGGTTTCCCCTTTGTAATTTCTCGGACACTATTTCTTACTCAAACACACAATAACTAAGTTATCACTTAAATTATTCTCCACTCTTGTTATCCGAACCACCCCTTCAACCGAAATTCTGATAATTGCTATAATCCGCGGCTGTAAAAGTCGTCGAACTCGCCACCGGCGCCACTATCGAGTACGTCACGGACCCCCCTTGTCCAAACCCTTGAACCTTTTCCCCTTCACTCTTCACCTGCGACACCACAAACCCACCCTCTTTAAACTTAACCTCCCCTCCGCCCATCAAATTGATCAATCCCGAATTCTGCAACTCAACAATTTTTGGATCGATCACCAGATTCTCCCCTGAGACGTTCAACGGTCCCATTAACCCCATCGTCTGGGCTAAAATTTTGCTCTTTGCTTCGTCCACCTCATCATCCTTCTTCTTGCCATGGGTCTTGAACCTAATGGGTGTAGGTTCCATAACGGGGGTGACGGGCTCGACCCGGTGGCCCCCTTTCAGGTCCGGCTGAGTCTCCACCCAATGGCCCGTAGTACGTCGGTGGGTTTTCAGTTGTCCGGATTGGATGAAACGCGCCGGACACATACCGCAGGCGTAAGGCCGCGCCCCCGTGTGACGACGCATATGAAGGGCCAAGTCGTTGGATTGGGTGAAGGCCCGTCCGCAAATGTTGCACACGTAGGGCCGCTCACCGGTGTGGACGCGAGTGTGGCGTAACTGGACGTTAAAAAAAAAACAGACATAATTTGTGTTTTTTTTTCTTTAAAATGAGATTCAAAACACCATACTTAATAAGTAACGCAGTAATTTGATTACGTAAAAAATTCAAAAATCTGCCGTCCGCTATTCCAGTTGTTGCTTACGATATTTTTATTGATTTAAGCGTTTACAATATGCAATTAGAAAAAGGAACCTTTCTTATCGTAAATACAACATTTACATTAATATTTAATTTCATAATATTTAATTTACTTTCCAACACAAAATTAAAATTTTTATACAGTGGCGTACAAGAAATTTTGGACATCAAATTCATGTCAGTTCAAAAAATGTCAATGTAAGCCACGCTTTATTGTCAGTTAATTGACGTTTGAAACTAAAAATTGAAAGTTTTAGTTGAAATTTATTATTGGTGTCGATTTTCCGAAACAATAATGCCAGCAATACGTATGTATTTTTATATAAGTTCAATAAATGATTTTGATTTGTTGTCATTTTTTCTCCAGCTATCAAGATAAAAATTACAAAAACCGAAAGTGAGGTTAGTGGCCTAAGGCCCGTTTTACATTTTTATGTCAGTCGAATGACAAATCCTCCAAAATTCCGTGTGCCAGTGTAACAAAGAGAGCACTTAATACCAAAATCGCTTCTAAATTTAGATTCGTCATACAGTTGTCATGTATTCAGTCTTTGGTTCCCTTTGGGACAGAATCAATTATTTACTTTCATTATTGTCTCGTTTGTTTTTTGTTCACTGTATCGAATAATAATGAATTGGTTAAACGACTCTGTATGAAACACTGTTTAGTCTGCGGTCCGCTTTTGTACTTACCAACTTATTGCTCTTATTGAACGATTTTCCACATAACGCGCAATGATAGGGTTTTTCCCCTGAGTGTGTCCTTTCATGACATTTGAGATCATGTGATCTAGGGAAACCCTTACCACACTGACTGCATTTATACGGTCTTTCCCCCGTATGTCGTCTCATGTGAACAATCTAGAACAAATCACTCAAAAGTGAGTTTTTACGGAACAACTCCTCACCATATTGCTCGAATTATTAAACTCCTTGCCGCAGTAAATACAAAGGTGCAACTTTGTAGTGTCTTTGATACCCGTATGTATCCTCTGGTGAGTCTTAAGATTATCGAGTCTATTGAACGCTTTACCGCACTCAGAACAAACATGCCGCTTATCTTGTAACAAATGTATCTTGATATGGCGCGCTAAATGATCAGACCTGTCAATGAAAAAAATTATATCAGTGCTACCAGTAATCAAACATCGAAAATACCTGCTGAAAGTCTTTTCGCATATCGAACACGTCAAATTATCCTCTTTCTCGTTCCCGGTTTGATGCACCTTCAAGTGTCGTATCAAATGCTCCCCCCTACTAAACGGCTTATTACAAATCGTACATGCATACGGCTTATTAATATGATCCTCTTCCACATGCTTAGCCAAATGCTCCAACGTCGCATACGCCTTGTCGCACCTATCACACTTATGTATCAAGAGTGCCCTGTGCAAAGTCATGTGTCGTGTTAAATGATTGGCTCGCGCGAACGCCGCTTCACACACGTGACACACGTGGACTTTGTGATGGATGGGTTTCGTCGGCGGCGTAATTTCCTCTTTCGTCTCTTGATCCGAACTCGGCTCTGCCTCGTCCGTCTTTTCAGGTTTTTCAGCCGACTCCTCTTTAGGTTCTTCCGGATCTTTCATTTTTGAAATATAAGCACTGAGAGGGACGTCGCTTTCGTCCGACATTCCATGCTCGGTTTGCATATGATGGTTGAAACTCTTCTTGTATTTGAATTTTCGGTCGCAGAATTCACATTCCATTACCTTCTTTTCGACAGGTTTCGGTTTATCGAGCTCTTTAATGCCATGGGTTTGTAGGTGGCGCTTCAGGTGGCTGGTTTTCGTAAAGCTTTTGTCACATAACTATAAAAATGGGATGGAAACAATGAAACTAAGCAAATCTTTTCTAACAGTACATAGTATGAGCTGTAATTTTTTTTAATCTTTCTCTAGGGAGGTAATTTTTAAATAGTGTAATTAACAATAGAAACAAATAATTGGAAAATGTGAATATTCAAAAAAGATTTTTTCATAAAACATTTCAAATACACTTCAGATTAGAAAAACAACTTTGATTAATTGATTATGTACTTAGTGTGAATTATTCTACTTATAATGCGATGTACTAGTTCGCAAAATTAGCTTTAGAAAGGATGGTAAAAAATTTGTTAAGCGTTCGGAATAAATACTTATGTTTAGTCTGCAGTCCACTTTAAATTGCTTCCAAACTTAATTTGTTAAAATGAAAACAAAAAATTCTTTGCTGTATTAAAAATTTGCATTTTCATCACAAAAACTCTGAAATGAAATTTTTAATAAAGAAATCTGGACTTCTTTTAAATGTCTATACTTAAAAACTCTTTTTTCCCAAAGTTATGGTTTTCTAAAAAATGAAGCTTTTTACAGCATTTTGTTCTGTCTGCTTTACAATAATATTTTATTAAATACTTAAAAAATTTAATCTTTCTTTCTAAAATCAAATATGTATGTACATATTTTAAAACTTTTTGGTGGTTTCTGTGCAAGATTATTATTAAATAATAATGCATATAAACAACCATTCAAAACAATCTTTCACAGATAATACTGAGTTGATTTTTTAATTGCTATAAAGCATTACAGACACAGGCAACAAAAAAGCAAATTATACAAACTACTAGAGAATGGAATATTTGTTTATGTTTAGTCTGCAGTCCCCTTCATTAAATATTAAAAATTTCTTGCTTATAAGGCAAAAAAAAGTGAACATTGGAGTTCAAACTCAACTTGTAATTCGTTAACTTACTTTACACTTGGCCAAATCTGACCCCGTATGCCTCCTCATGTGTATCTTAAGCCCGACAAACGTCGTCATAATCTTAAAACAATATTTACATTCATAAGTTCCTTTATCTTTTTTCGACGTTTTCGTCTTTGGCTTAAAATACTCCTCCAAAGCGTCATCCTCGTCCTCATCCTCGTTAATCTCCAACGTTATTTCATTATCGCAATCGCTGTTATTGTCCGCTGCTGTTGACTGCTGCCCGCTCTCACCCTCATCGCTCTTATCGCCCCCATCTCCCTTGTGGGTCTTCTTATGCGACAGCAAATGACTCAATTTCATGAAAGACATGCCACATTCGGCACACACGTGCCCCGTGTCGCCCTTCACGTGGGTTTTCATGTGCCTGATCAAGTGGTGGGTCCTTGTAAACTGAGCGTCGCACAAGTGGCAAGAGCGGAGTTTGTCCCCTGTGTGGCGTCGCTGATGGATGCGGAGACCCTTTTTCGTCCTTAGAACCTTCTGGCAAAAGGGACACGTAAAGGATTTAGACTTGGAGTCGTCATCATCGCTATCTGAGTCATTGTAAAGTTCTGGGATGTTGAAGTCGGGCTGAACGACTATATCGCAAGTTTCCTCCTTGATTACAGAATCGGATTGGTTGGTGAGTTCCCGTAGGGTCGTGTCGGTCTTCTGGCACTGCTGTTTGAACTCGTAGGCGAGGTTGAGCTTGTCTTCACAGGTTATGCATAAAAGGTTGGGAAGGCCGTCCCCTGAGGCAACCTGGAATTCAACCGCTGTGGTTGCAAAGGGGCACTAACGGGGGTACTTACAACCACAGCAGCGCAATCCATTAACATCTCAGCGAGTTGTAAAGTTTGGCCGCCGAGTTCTTTGGAATCGAACACATTTCGCATATTCTCATTTTGGCACATACATGAACGGCAGATTTTATCGATAACTAACTCCGTGGTTTTATTAATCATCATAAGACACGTGACTGTGTTAATTAATAACAGTTTTTTTGCATAATTGCCGAAACTATTTCAGGCACTATTTTGTTGTTGGTTTGGGTAAACACAGGACGCGCTCCACGATTTTGCGCAATGAAATTCCCATCATGGATTTTGATAATATCTCATTAGTTTTAAAAGACACGAAAAGAATAAAGTAAACACTTATCAACAACAATATTAATTTATTTACACAATTAATTAAACAATAATTTAAGGATTACCTTATTTCAAAAATGACATAAGAGACAAGTTTGATGCTTGGTACTACTGAGTTTTAAGTTGAGGCGCCAAACAAATATTTTTTTTACTCAAAACTAATTACACTAGTATAAAACTAATAACTATTTAATCGTCCCATTTCGACTTTCTTTTTACAAATTCCTCTCTTCCGTCTTCCTGAATGGCAGGATAATATCCAAGTGCATCATACTTACTCCTCATGTACGCAATATAGCCCAAACATCCCGTAAAAGCCACCAACCCTAATCCCATTATTACCAAATTCTGTCAAAAAAAACAGTTTAATAATCATTTATTTACCCAATAGGACAAATGCTAACTCACAGGTTTTACGTATAATTCAAAATTCACAGCTTTAAACAATGTTGTGCTTCTAAGAGACCGAAGGCCATCACCAGGCGCCGGGGTTTTTTTCTCATTCATTCTAATTTGTTATTGTTTATGCAATTTACGCAAAAAATCTGAAAGAAAAATAACCTCAAAAAACGTTTAAGAGGAAGTGAGTAAAGTCCCGCTGACGTTTGATTCGCAATGTTTGTTGAATGAGGAAATAATTGTTTAGAAATCACACCGAGCTCTAAGAAATCGTGAGTAGTTATCAGAAATAGAATTTTCCTGGAAATTTAAAAAATTTGAAATTGTTGCAACACTTGTGGCTGCAGGCACGATCAGTGTATTATTGGTTGCATATTCTAAGGAAAATTTAGTTTGGGAGTTTAATCTTTTGTGATATACCTACCGAAAATCTCTTTGTATCTTCTTATTATAAAATAACAAAACTAAGGATACCTACTGAAAATTGGAGATATCGATAGTTTTTGCAAAAGACTTTCTGACAGTTTTATAAAAACTGAGTTATTTTTTTTTCTTTTCTATATTTTTGATTGTTGTGTTTACCCATACGGCTAGTAAAGTAAAGCCACAATCACAGATAAGAAATTTTCAACTAAAAAATACGAAATTCCGCATTGATAAAACAGATAATAGAGCGCGGACCCAGTAATGAACGTAAGAGCAATTAATGTTTATCTAATCGCGTGCAAAAAATATTTAAGGATTAGTGTTTATTAATAAATTTAAAGTTTCATTCACGGTTTACATGTAAGCAATAAAATTTGTATCAAAGTCTAAAATCCGATTAAAGTTTTTGTGGGGGAGGTAGTAGCAATTAGTGTTCTTTTTTAATATAGTTTCTATATTTTCGGTATTTAGAATAAGTTTTCTACAGAGTAGGTAAACATAATCATAAATAATATGTATTTAAAATGGATGAAATCAGAGTTGAAAATTTTAAATGTTCGAATTCCCACAATGGGTTTAAAGCGGCTCAAGTCAAAATTTATGAATCCCATGTGGGCAAATAAACCTGTCATCGAGTCGTCAAAAGCAAATAAACATTGTCAGTTTGAGTAGAATCTCGCCAAAGGTCTCTCCCGTGTGTTTGTCGTCTCGATGAAGATATTAGTGTGTAAATTCGGTGTTTAACTACGTGTCTTAGCGCCACTTAAATGGAATGAGAAAAGAGTCGTTATTTTTTCTCACGCAACACAAATAAATATATCGGGATTCTTCAGAGATCCGTCCTATAAACTCTTTTATCCCGCTGTGTCCACTAATAGGTCGGGCAAATATTATCTCTGCCTCAGAACGTGACACTTTATTAATGCTTTTAGGAAACAAAGCAATAATTGACGTGAGAAAAAATCGCCACTGGGTAAGTACCCACACCTGGCCCGAAATCGGGCTACTAAACCCTTCAAAATCCCTGACAGCTACGGAATTTCCGCCACTTTCAGCCTACTAATCCCTCGAGCCCTTTACGACGGCACGACCCGCAGTTCCCACCTGTTGTGTGGTCGCAACCGCATTATTATTGTTTCGGGAAAAATTTTATACAAAAATGCGCACATGTGGCGGAGTTCCGTTATTCGGGGAAATTAATGACATCGTGGGACATTTTCGCCGACTCAATGTCACACGAGACACCCTCCGACATGAAAAAGCGATCCTGAACTCACCTCCACCATATTAAGCTCTCTAGCATCGGAGACGGCGATGCAGTACCGTTATGTTATTGTTTTGTGACATTTGTAATTCAGATGCGCGAATGTCTGTCACGTGACTTGGATTAAACGCAGCCGACTCGAACTGAATGCATTTTTTCAGAGGGTGACCACCAATAGAGCCATTTTTGGGACAGAAAATGTGAACACTTCTTTTCACGCAAAAAACGCTCTCTCAATGCAGTGGCGTACCACAATTTCAGTCTAAAGTGGCTTAAACCTTTTTTAGCTGTAGACATTTTGCCGAAAAATCGTAAAAAACATTATTATTATTATTATTATTATTATTATTCCTTTGGTTGATTTGGTCTTAGTTTAATAAAAAATTCAACGATATTTTCGTCACTACACTCAGTATATTTTTTATCTTGAAATAAAACACAAAGTAAAGTAAAGTCGTTTTGTCAATAAAATTTACAAATGTATTTTTCCTATCGATTGCCCTCATCCTCCAACTCTTCGACGGGCAACGTCCCTGAAAATATAGATTGTTAATATTCCCGGGGGTTGTTTGCGTCCGAGGCCAATCCCCTGCTTATCTGCAGACAGCGAGTCTGAAGTGGAGCCTCAATAAAATAATAGTGAGGCCAGACAAGGCGCTGGAGTTTTCGTCCTCGTAAATTGATAGTGGTCGCGATGGCGCCAGCATCGAGACGCCTGGCGTCGTCCTGTACCACCACGAAAACAACTTCCAATCGAAAAAATCAACTTTTAACCAATCTCCAGGGAAAACTTCGAAAATAACATTTTTTTTATCTTAAAACACTGTTTTGCAAAGATAAGGGACTTGCGGGCGCCTTAAGGACAATCATCCATCGTCCTTGTTGAGGATCGGGAAACGGTCTCGCCGCAGGGTCATTGACATGTTAGAGAAAAAACTTGATAGTTTTTCTTGTTTTTCCGATCGCAACGACGGCGACGCGTGTAATTGGCGATTTTTTGCACATTTGAGGAAATTTGGGTAAAAAGCGAAAACTTCCTAATGAGACTTTGGCAATTTTTACAAATTAAAAACGATTGGAGTGAAACTCGTTGGAAACGTGCGACCCTGAATTTTAACAAGATCTGGGTGTATTTTTGTAATTACCGGTAATGGGTCGTTAAAACGACAAGTTTTTTTGCGAATGTGTAGCAAATTTTTATAAATCGCTCGATTAATACCTAATTAAGAAATTGATTTAAAAAAATCAAACCATTTAGATTGCAATTTCGAACAAATGATAATTACCAGTGGCGTAGTATAAAATTTTTAGAAATGTGACAATATAATTTTTTGACAGTTTGTTGTATTGTTATCTATATTACTTAATGTTATTATGTATCATCTCAAATTTTGACACATATTTTTAAATGTCAATGTCGTCCAGTTAATGTTTTGTTTATTTTACTTTGGTAGCCTTGTTCTGACAGGTCATTTGGCCCATTGAAATTTGATGTAACAAAAAGTGTTATTCGGACAGTGGCGTAGACGTATTTGTAAACACCACTTTTCTCTGAAAAAATACAAGACGCCGACACAATAGAAGACTAAAATAATTACAAGCGGCAAAAGTTAATGAGTATAGAATTACAAAGCTACCTGCGATCCGACAATCTTGTAAACATCTCGTGTTTATTACACATTTTAGATTATTTTTCGTAATTTATTTGTGTCGGGCTGTGTACTACTATTACGTTACACATATAGCGCCGGATAGTCAAATTTCCGAGTGATTTATTTTATTTTTAAGTTTTATTAATCGGAAAAACATTTTAAGATGGCGTCATTGATCATCATGAAAAGGTCATAAAAAGTCAATTTTTCCGATGACACAGTCCAATTACATCTGCAAGGCCATGAAAATACTCTTCGAATTCGTCACGTGTATTAAAACAGTTGCATCGTCTGCCGACCAATCAAAGCCTATAAAATTCGTCCAGTGGCGTGCCTAAAACCCACCAAAAAAATACTCCTTTATTTATCTCCGGCGCGGTTACATAACCAGCCAACTATATTAATTCTTCAAAAATAACCGACCATGAGTCTGTAGCAATTTCAGCGTATTTTTCTCTCATGAAAGCTACAAATTGGAATTGAGGGCTCGTTTGCCATCAGCGACCTCTGTCAACGCGGAAGTGTACCACGAAATTCGCGATGGTTAGTGTCAAGCCTGGCTATTTTGGAGCGTTTATTATTGTTACGGCATACACTCCGGGAAATATTTACGAGATGAAAAATCGGGTATCATTGAATACACCTACGAGGGGATTTTCGCCGGTTTTATATCAGGATAATCTCAACGTTAAATATTTGTTTTTGATCGAAATTTCAAGCAAAAGTAACCGAATTCGTGGAAACACGCGAGCGGGCTATAAATAGAGGGCATTTAGTCAGTTAAAGCGTATTTGACCGAGACGGGGAGGTATTTTTGGATAAGTTGGGCAGATTAAGAGCGCGACGAGAACGACGGAAACGGGATTTTTCACACGGGAGAACTGAAGTTGGCTTGGATGTTGGATGCGGCAAAAAGCGGATTTTGCAGATCTGTAGATATAGAAGCAAAAAGGGGTATCTTAATCATGCATGAATTTCTAATCAAAGTAGCCTGTATCTTTGAATTATTGGTGAACTGACTATAAAAGTGTGACGTTTTCAATATAGTCAATGTTACCAACTTAGTAAGTTAGTCAAAGACCAATTTGATTGAGGTACAAGGCCTCCTAGAAATAATTGGTAGAAAATAAGAACTCAAAATGTAAAAAAAAAATAATCTTGAAATTTCATTTTGTCGAATCTATTTGAATTACATTTTTAATTGTTCTGGGACACTATACAAGGTGACAAAACACGCGCCCCAGAGAAAAATTTCAAGTAAGATAATATATCAGGAACATGGAAAAAATGTTTAAAAAAATTCTCTGTCAAAAAACTTTGACATTTATTTTTTGACCTTTGACATTTTTTTTATAGCCTGCAGCATAAAAACTTGGAAAATTATTTTTCGAACAGAAATAAATATAGTCAAAGTGCAAAATTTAAACTCTCATAACTTTGAAATTTTCATAGATAGATTTTTTTTAAACATTTTTTCCCATGTTCTTGGTATCTTACCTTACATGACGTTTTTCTCTGGGGCGCGAGTTCTGGCGCAGCCTGTATACAACATTAAAGAAATTAATTTGTTTGTTTAATTTCTCCTGCAATCACCCTGCGTTATTTATACGTAATTAAGAAATTTAAAATGTTTTGGCCGGGAGGGAATTCTTATATTAATTAAATTGTTTCACTTAAAATTTCACTAAACTACTTTTTTGTTGAAAATGCAGTACTGATCAGTTGAGTCCCTTATAAAGCCTGGGTTCCTCACCGACGTCGCCAGTTCGCGTATTATCACCCACCTATGTGAAAATAGAATTGGATGTTTTCGTATCGTACGTACCGAATTAAATGGATTCTGTTTACAGAACTCCGGCGTGAAAGACATAAAACGCACGCGATACTTCGAAAAGGTAGTCAGTTCATGCCACATTCTGGAAATTGTCGGAGAAACTCGCCTTTAAAACACTTAGAGCGTCGTAAAAAGGTGACAATTGCAAAAATATTGACAGTAAAAAGGCGTTTAGTTTAACGATCGGCCTTGCCACTGTTTCGGCAAACGCTCTGACTTTCACCGGGAATCCATTTTTCAATTTTTTTCATGCATCACACTCGTCATAACGTCGCGGATTTGCACGGGTCAAGGAACAGCGGGGAGTGCTGATGAGGGCGGAGTTATTTGTCATTCGTCAAACTGCGACTCATTATAGAGGGGCACGAACAAATTAGCAAATTGATGGTCGGGAACGCATCCGGAAGTGCTGACGGGCGCTTTTTACTAATTGACAAACAACAAACTAACCGAAATTTTGAAAAAAATCCGACTCTAACGGACAATATACAGGGTGAAGCAAATTTTGCCACCATCCATGCACAGGCAATAAAAATTCATTATCAAAAATTTTGCTATTTATGGGTTGCTGCTTAGGCAATAGTAAATCTACCCACTTGCTAAAAAGTCGTGCTTAATGATTGTTCATCTGTCAACAAAAGAAATTTGCCTTGCAAGGTCTAAGAAAACATCTGGTGATACGTTTTCAGTTTTATTAGATATCGTAAATAAGCACTTTCGAGAGAGGCTGTTGCAATTATTAGCATCTATTGTCGAATAGATTTTGCCGCTAAGCAATAAATTTTACATAAATTCGATATTAAAAAGTAATAATCTAAAAAACTATTTAAACAATAGTGTCTTCAAAATTGGAAATACACCGCAACAGAATTCAATTCATAATCACATTTTTTTTTTACAAATTGTGGAATCAAATTATTGGGTTGTATAAAATTCCCTCGTCAACACAAAAATAATCCTTAAATCTTAACAACTAAACTTCCTTTAAAAAAGATGTATATTAATTTTAATAAAACGCTTCAGTGAAATGAATTCTTTAAAATTCCGATTTTCAGAGGTAGCAGATCGATTTATTTTTCTGAAAATGGGGCGAATACCCTTAGAAAACAAATTAATATTTCCGTAATTATTATGAAATTTGACTTATATGTAGTGTTCAGCGGGAATGGTGTTTTAGTGTTATTCTGATTTTGCTCTATTGTTCTTAGTTGGGACAATCTGTAAGCGATCTAAACTCGTTCAAAAATTTGAAAACATGAAAACCGGAAGTCGGGACGTTTCAAACGGAAATTATAATGCTTCAACAGTCATACGGTGACTTGCGTTTTAATTTCACATCGAATTCGTTGGGGGGTGAATAACAACAAAAAAACCTCAAAAACGATTCTAGGCGAATCACCCCGCGGATATTTCCGGAGAGTTTATCTTTCATTATTGTCTCTAGTAATGCCAGGTAGGTCTGAATGAGTGCCGACTGTGCACTGATAAACTAATAAATACACAACGGCGATTATTCTTTTTACGGAGATAAACAGAAGGCGCCAGCGAAAAAATCGTGATAAAGAATGCATTCCAATGAAAAATTTGAAAAATGGGAATTGTACAAATATAAGAGGGAATGGAGTGTTTTTTTTTTTTTAAGAATGAAATGGTGGTGGATGAAAATGAAAATTTTGTGAATGAGCCAAAAGTCTTGATTGAAACTTAGTCAATTTGCGATGAGATTGGTAATTCGCGATGAGATAAGATAAGGAGGCGCCGAGAATTTTGCGGTGGGTTTGGTGGTGGTTTCGGGGGCTGTTGTTGTGTAACAGTGGTCGTGGGGGTAGCGTCGTAGCGCGCCGTAGACGACGTCCGTCCTCTCTTATTCTCGTTGCGACGTCTGTCGGCGGCCGCTTTGGAGGGGGACTTCAGTCAGTCTAGGTTGTACTTCTCAACCGTCAACATTGCCCTCGACGGCGCTCGTAGTCGTTCCTCGTGCTGGTGCCCGTCGTCGTCGTCGTCGTCCGCGGTGGTGTTTAGTGATGTGGAGGTGCGTCAGTGCGTGACCGGGATGACGTTGGGCGGCGCCGTCGCCGGCCCCAGGTGCACACATGCAGTGTCTCCGATCGGGGGGCTCCGGGCCGTGAGATCGTCGTGAGTACGCGACCTGCAGACATGTTAGGATTATCGGTGCAGCAGTGTGCATGTCTCGTCTTCCTAGTGGTTCTCGCAGTTTGTTCCGGTTTCACAGACGCTATGGCCAGGAGTCGCTCAGTGAGTGAGGTGTCCGAGGTGCGGCGGCTGCGCCACCATCGCGCCGCGAGGGAGTCGCACCGCAAATGCCCCGAGATCAACGTCTTGTGGAAGGCGTGGAGGGCCGGCACCGTGGCGCACGCCACGGCCCAGAGCACCAACTGCAAGAACAGGGACGAATGTGAGGTGGTGTTCAAGGTGCTCAAGTGGTTCAAACGCGAGCCCTCCGGAGCCGCCATGTTGCCCAAAGAGGACACAGTACTACGGCTCAGCTTGCGCAAGAATAATAGCAAATACTGCGAATACGACCAGCTCGCCACCAGGACGCAACCCCTAGTCAGGACCAAAATCGAAACGTCCAAGGAGTACATCCTCTTTCTCAACATCTCCGGACCCCACAAGTTTTTCGCCGCTTTTGCACCGGCACCCATCGAAAGAAAAGGGATACTAAAAGCTATGGATAAAGTCACAAATGAAACAACATTCTGTAAGTCTGCTTGATGTCAATTGACATCAAACAATTTAACATCGACTAATTACGATTTTTTATCTTTTTGATTTGGCAACAACTTATTTTCTGCTCTAGTAATGGCCTAATTAATGTCATTTTGTGCTAAGTTGTTGGGATTGTGCTAAACTCTAAATGAAAACACAAAAACATACTTAAGTCATCGACTTGGATACACAAATTTACATTTAAAAATAATTCCAATTTTTGTTCTGTTATACCTATACATTAAGTAATATATTTGTTTATCCTACTCASTTCGTTACATTTTTCTAATAGTCACATTATATATTTTCATTGATAAGTACCACTTGATTTTAAAACGACAAAATACTTACACGAGATGCTACGATTAAAAATTGAGTAAAAGGGAACATTTCTGTGAATTATATTACTACATTAATTAATTAGATATGTATTACATTAATTATATTATTTTTAAATTATCTTCGGTTTAAAATGAGAGATGTCAAATAGAAAATTTTCAGTTGATATAATTTTTATCCACAATCACTCTATAAAGAGACTTTATTCTCGACACTTTAGATGCGTATAAAGTACCACTTTATCCACTAGTGGAATAAAGTAACTTTATTCCACTCTTAGTAACCAGCGCACCGCGTAACTGCTTACTACGTTTAACCGAAAGCACATTTGGCGTGACGTTTAAATGACAGTTTAATTTTTAAATAAGTTTGGAATAATTTGGGCCTGTGATTGTGGATAAAACGCTATCTAACACACTCTTACAAAAAATAACTATTAAAGTTAAAAATATTGTTTCTATTTTGCTGACATTTAAAGTTTAACTAGTATTTGTCATTATCAACTGCAAAGACCTTCAAAACTGTAACGAAAGCCACTGTGACACTTCCTCGTTTTGTCACAACACAGGTCTACATAAATATTTCTTTAAAAAGGGAAATTATTTGAACAAATACTTTCAATTTTAATTACTTAATTAAGGTGAACAAATCTTTTATTTCAATAATAAATATGTTATGAACAACGGTATAAAATAAAAAAATTGAACTATACGAAAAGTGCAGATTTATTTTTTGTTATTCTACACAAAAATTTTATATCTGTGAGATTTTGTTAGTGAAATTTTCATTTCTTCAAATGTCAATAAAAATTTATGGAGCACAAACTGCCAACGTAATAAAATACTTTGCGAAAATAACCTCAAACTACAATTTTTACCCGAATTGACATATACGAGGAAAAAAGTTTAAAAATAAGCATCGTTTTGATAGTTCCAGAGAAACACAAACGCTAATGAACAAACGGGCGGATAATTATTTTGTTTTGGGAAAAATATAATATAGCATTTAAAAAGTTTAAAGGAATTGAAAAATATTATATTCATGGCTTACCTACTCCAATTTTATGCAATATTTATGACAATTACCACTTTAAGTTAAATGTTGTCAACCTGTATCACTGATGAGACAAAAATAATTAAGCCAAAAAAAGTGCCTCAAAAGCAAGTAAAAACTTAGTTTTACTTAGTAGTGGTACTAAATTAAAGCTTAATTGCCATTATTTAAAAGTATTATTACTTCAAATATAAATAAAACTTTGAGGTTGACAGACCGTTTATTAATTTTCATTAAGGAACCCTTGTTCGACACCAATGTACTGTTATTTTTATTACAAGTTTTGATTTTAACACAGACATGAAAAATGTTTTATCTTAATAATTTCATAGTAAAGAAAAGCAAAATGTAGCCGTCACTGACTTAAATAACTTTTTTCTTGAAAAATTAAATCATTAAAAATTATATTATTCACTTAATGGTATTCGATTTAAAGATATTTTTTCCACATGACACGCTACTGCATATTTTAACGCTAACAACTTTATTCAACTGGCGTAACTATGGAAACAAACATTTTATCTCTCAATTGCCATTGGTTAAACCGTTTATTACTTCGAATCGATTTTTTACTACTTGTTTGGTCACTGTGTATATTTATTCGGCCGGAAAGCTTGTCAGAATGATCTACATAAATGCTTGAAATGCCAAAGCGCGTCGTAGGTGTGTATGCAAACTATTCTAGTGAGAAGATGTACCTACTCCGGAGCGTCTCCGAAGAGCCCCGGAGCCCAATTCCGGGCACTGTATCCTCGACTCAACTCTCCGGTTCCTGAATAATGCATCGCACACGTTTAAAATTCCATAATTTCGACAAGCCCAATTACGGTCGCGTGTACCGGGTGTGTCCGCGAAGTCAGCTCGACCTTGAACCCTCAAAAATCGAAAATTCGCTCAAAAGTTAGTCAGCAGAATTAAAGCGAGATATATCGTCGCGTCGTCGCTTTTGGCAGGCGATTTGGCACATCGTCCGTTGAGTTCGATGCACTTGTGGATTTTTCCCGATTTTCCGGCGGATGTTCGAAACGAATCGATTTGTCGAAAGACAGAATGTCGAGACAATGGCGGCGCGTTCGCGCTCCGGTGCCTGGGTCATCGCGTAATCGCACCTAAAGTGCGTATAAAATATTACTGATGACACAGATTCCCGGACGACACACTTTTACACGCGATTATTCCGAATAATCCGATTAGACGAACGCATTATGTGCAAATAGGACACTGATTCATTTCGAAATACGGAGAAGGCGCGTACGCCCGGATTATTCGACTCCGGTCGCTGCCGCTTGACCATTTAAGGGACCACCGCAGATGAAAGCTCCGAGGAGGCTTACACTGATTCATAACCGAAGCGAAACGAATTCGGGATCAGAGGACCGCCGCGAACGATATCGCACACCACGGTGACAGATTTTCATTAAACTATAGACTTCCATTGTTTCATATTCGATCTATAAGTCTATAAGTGTGTTGTAGAACTTCAAAGAAAATAAGAAAATTGCTTAAAGCTTATTGGGATAGTATATTAAAAAACAAATGTTATGACATGTTATGACATGTTATGAGTGTGCAGTTAGTGATGGTATTGCATGAAATGTTGTCAAAAACAGTGTTACAATAGTATATTAAAAAACAAGTAGGTATTACAAAYACTCTCATTATAATACGAGTAGTTTGTGACACGAGTCACGCAGTAGCGAGTGTTTCCATGCACGAGTATCTCAATAAGAAGTTGTATACTATTTTTTCTACTGAGTACTTTTTAAATTAAATTTATTATTATATTTGGCATTGATGACATTTGACGTATGCGGTACTCAAAAAATAGCTCAAAACGATTATATCGCAATGGAAAAAGTTGTATTTTGTGGCACTGTTTATTGATTTTCCATTAATAAAATTTTATTCATTTTAAAATCAATTTAATTTCTGGAATTAATATTTTTATATGTTTAAACTATCTAGGAATTCTAATAAATTTATTATTCCGATAAATTAACACCATTATCACAATCTTATTATTTAATTATCTGTTCACATCATCTAATATTTCTATGATTTTAGATTAGCTAAAAAAATTCAAAATATTCCTTAAAATTATGTGTCTCTTTTAACATTGAAAGTTTTGACATATGCCACGTGCAGCATTTTTTCAATTTTGTATTACTATAATTTTAGTGTGTATTCTAAATTCTAATTAAAGGGAAAATATGTTTTTGCGAATATTTAATATCACAATGTTTAGACATGAAGCTGTAAAAAAAGTCTAAGTAATAAACCGAAACGTTAGCTGTCATTCAATTTTCTTAGTCCAAAATTGACATTTTATTGAATCAAGATTCTAAGATTCTCGTATATTGTGTCCCAGTGAGTTGGTAAATTTCATTATTGACCTTTAGAAGTTTAGATTCAAAAAAAAATATACATAGAAAATTGACAGATACTAATTTACTGCGTCGTCTCAAATTATTTTCAACTATACATCGTGTCCCAAAAATACGTTACAACACAAACATTTGTTTTTTTTTTAATAAAACACCATGTTTCTTAGCATTTCTGGGTGTAAGTAACTCTTAATTTTAAGCTTTAAGTTTTTTAACTAAACTTTTATTGCTCTATTTTGCTTAGTTTTTGAAATAAATTGGCTTTATTTAGATGAAAACAAACTTTTTTTAAAAATTATTAAGACAGCCGAAACAAATTAATTACTACCGCAAAGAAGAAAGCACAAACTTTAAGGCTAGAACATTTCTTCAGTGTATTGTATTTATAACGACAAAAAAAGAAATTTGAAATGAAACATCTAAAAGATGTTGTCTTTCTAAAAGTTTTGAACTTTTAAGTATCTACAATTAACATTGGAAAAAATATTTTACTTTAAACATAAAAAAAAATTAACCACTCTTTCAGTAGTCAAAAAGTGCAGAGTTGTACAAGATACAAAATATCACTCAATAATTATTACATTTATGTTACTATTGTTGCACTGTTAATTCAAATTGTAATATACATGGGGGCTTTTATAGTCTCTGGATAAACCCCACATAAAGTAATCTATGGTGGAACTACTATGATTGCCATGATAAAAGCGTATTCGGCGCATTCGCGCAAATGAAGAACTCGCACCTTCGTCGCTCGTGCTTCAGATATAATGCGCGAAAAATGTCTTCTCACACTTGGTTCGTAAATAACTATTACCAACTCGCTGGGACATCCTGGTTGTAGTAGATTCATAATTGCATATTAAAATTGGCAAATTTAAAGCTGCTTTGAAAATTCACTTCCAATGAATCGGTTTTTTGATGCTTGCCAATGGTAAGGCGTCTTTCAGGACTCCACTTGGGACCCCCTCCTCATCCCAACTTCCTTACCGCGCCTCGTAGACGAAATGTCGGTGTAATACGTGCTGTCCAACTAGGATGATGATCCCAATTATCGGATTTGCACATAATGCGGACACACATGGGTGATCGCGGCAGGCAGCTGGGCTAGGCTAGGCGCAAGGCCGCGCCGACTGCTCTTCGTGAGAGCCTCCACCGACTCACCCACGGCATGCGTCACGTACCAGAGGGAACCCCAGGGACGCCTTCTGCAAACACC